TGTGGAGCTTGAACTCTGGGCCTAGAAGCTGTCCCTGAGCTCTTCAGCTCATGGGGAGCACTGTACCAATTGAGCCACAGTGCCACTTCCGGTTTTCTAGTGGTTAATTGGAGATGAGTCTCACCTAGTTTCTTGCCTGGGCTGGCTTTGAACCATGATCTTCAGATCTCAGCCTCCTGAGTGAGTAGCTAGGATTACAGGCATGAGCCACCAGCGCCCAGCATTTTTTTTTTTAATCTTGATACTGGGGCTTGAACTCAGAGCCCAGATGCTCTCCCTGAGCTCTTTTGCTCAAGGCTAGTACTCTACCACTTTAAGCCACAGCACCACTTCTAGTTTCTGGTAGTTCATTGGAGATAAGAGTCTCTCAGACTTTCCTGCCTGGGACAGACTTCAGAATCCTCTATTAACAAGGCACCAGTGGCCCTTACCTGTCATCCTAACTGCTCAAGAGGCTAAGATCTGAGGATCCTAGTTCTAATCCAGCCTGGGCCCATTGTGATTATTCCTGCTCTTGGCCAGTAGAGGTGAAAGAATATAATTAGAGAGATGGTCTCTAATCATGAATATAGGACTCACATGTAAAACCATATGCATGCCTCATTCTGGACAGTTAGTTGCATTTAATCCTTACCCTCCCTCTCTCCCTCTAACACTGCCCAAATGTTTTCATTAAAGCATGTGTGCGCGCGTGCTGTGAAAGCAACTGCACAGAGACTCTGTGTGTTCTTATCCACCCTACGGCAGCCCTGAACTACTGGAATAAAAGACCAAGGGACCTTATAGGCAAACACCATTTTCAACCGAACCATACAACCACTTCTGAGCAAGTCTCTCTTTCTGGAGCTACAGTCTAGCCTCAGCTATGCAGTGCCATCTACCACTTCCCCTTGTCACTCAGTTCCCTGGGGAGTTCAGGGCTCTGCAGTCTGCTCAGGAGATGGTCTACCTCCCCTTCTTCCACTACAGCCTCCATACAGATCCCCTGTGCTGATCAGCCAGGAGATAGCTTTGTGGGGTCCAGCAGGGAAAGGAAGGCTCTGCTGAGCTAAGACAGGAAAGACTGGGGAACAGACCATCGATATAATACCAAAAAAAAAAAAATCAGAACAGGAACCTGGACAAAGGAAGTGAGAGAAAATTCTCTAAAGATTAACTTACTGAAGGTGACAAATATTTGCTTATTTTCCTTAGGAGGCAGTGATCAAATTATACATACACACACACATACACACATATATATATATATATATATACACACACACACACATACACACAAATATACATACTCATATTAACAATTATATACATACAATATATTAACAATTTGGAGTGTAAATTAGTCTTTAATAATATTCATGGGACTACCAAACTAATACACAAACATTACTAGTATTCAAATTAGGTTTTTGTTTTTTTTTGTTTAGTGACAATCGTGGGGCTTGAACTCAGCACCTGGGCACTGTAACTGAGCTTCTTTGCTTAAGGCTGGTGCTCTACCGATTAAGCCATGGTTCCATTACTGGCTTTTTGGTGGTTCACTGGAGATAAGAGTCTCACAGATTTTTCTGACCAGGCTGGTGTTGAACCACGATCTTCAGATCTCATCCTCCCAAGCAACTAGGGTTACAGGCATGTGCCACTGGCAGCTGGCTCAGAGGTGGGTTTTAAAAGCAAGCATTTTGCCCATCCTATCTTGCATAGCCTTGAGCATGTTAGGAAAGATTTTATTTAAAACTGTGTCTCTAATAAATCTGCAAAAATGCTAGATTTGAGCCAGGCACCCATGGTTCATGCCTAATATTATCATAGCTTCTCAGGAGGCTAAGAGCTGAGGATAAGAGCTGGAATTCAGCCAGGGCAGGGAAGTCTGTGAGACTCTTAGCACCAATTAACCATCAAAAAAAGTTGTGCTTGAGGAGATTGTATAATGAAACCTAATTCTGAACTGATACTATTCAAAACACTGGTTACTTGTCCTGTGCAGCTATTTCAATTATGCTTATAATTCAAAACAAAAATTCAGCTCCTCATCACTCTTGCCACAGATCACTTATTCAGAGGCTGCTGTAAGCTAGTGGCTGTTATGCTGGAGGGCACGTAAGTAAATTCTTCACAGAACATTCTAAACAATTGGACTGGGGCATAAAAAGAAGGTCACACATGATTTAGACACTATTGGGAATTTATCCACATTCAAGGAATAACAGGTTTATGCATAGATGGGGTACTGGTATTTGTTAAGTGTGGGGTTCATTACATTCACGTGGCATCTGCATTCCAAAATTCTTTTCTATTGATTAAAATTCTTTTCTATTAAGATTAACAGGACTATTAAAAGAATCCTTACTCAGCAACATATTTAGAAAAGGAAAAAAAGAAAAGTTTATTTCAGAGAGTTCAAGTGTAGCAGGCCTTAGGAAAGTTAGCATTCAAACTGCAAATCTCAATAACTTTGTAAAAGAGATGGTAAAAAAATAGCTACAATTTCCTAAATGATTTTTCAACTGATCAAGTTTGCCTCTAAAAAGCACTGAGCTTTCTGCTGTCTGATGGTGCAGCAGCTGCCAACTGATTTAGATCTTCCTACACAAAACACTAATTCACTTTATGTATGATCTTACTTTAATTTCTAGGATAACCAATTTAATATTTTAATCCACATCATTAATTTAAAATGTTTGTTTTTTATGAATATACTTATATATTACAAATACAGAGAGAGAGATGGATTTTCTATTATGTATAGCATTTCTGGCTTGTATCCTTGCTAAATGTAGCTATTAAATCCAATGGTTCCTCTATAAATTATTCCTAATTTTCTGCTGTCCAGCACTAATAATTTCTTTCCAATTATAATTTTTTGCCCTATTATATTCCCCAGGACTTTGAATAATAAGTTGAGACTCTGTCTTTAAGAGAAAGAAAACTACTACTAACAAATAATTTCATTTGGAGAATTATTTTAATGGCATGTGTAATTTATTTGTTATCTCCTGCTCAGTTTATCCCTGGTATCTTATTGATAGGCTTCTATGTATAAGACAATTTTCAAGCTTAATGGACAGACTCAGTTCCCAGTAACCTCTCACAATTTTTAGTGTCTCTTAGTAATGAATGATAACACCTTAAAACCTTCTGATCTTGAGGACTGAAGGTTTATTCTTCCCCCCCCCCCTTTTGTAAGTTCCAGCTGGGTATTTATCAGTTTCAATCACCCTTTCAAACAACAGCGGCTCTAAACCCCTTATTTCATGTTTACTTAAGTTCGCGGCGTTCGTTCCGTTTCCTATGTGCCAATCTGTCTTCGATGCTTAGGATTTGTTCTCTTAACTGGCACGGTACAGTCGGGGCTTCGTATGGAGCCCTTGGGTTATTCTATCACGGAACATCCAGACGCTTTCTCTCCGCAGTAAAAAAAAAAAAAAAAAAAAAAAAAAAAAAACCAAAAAAAAAAAAAAAAAAAACCAGTAAGCGTAACAGAGTCTCCGCCATCATCCCGCGCTCGCCGATCCCATCCGCGCCGCGATCGGAGGGAGCGCGCAGCCTTTCACCGCGGGCGCCAGCCACCCAGGGGCCCCCGCGATCCTCAGCCCCGGGATCCTCAGCCCCGGGAGCGCAGCCTCTGCGATCCTCAGCCCCGGGGCACCCGCGATTCTCAGCCCTGGGGCCCCCGCGATCTTCAGCCCCGGGAGCGCAGCCCCCGCGATCCTCAGACCGGGAGCGCAGTCCCCGCGATCCTCAGCCCCGGGAGCGCAGCCCCCGCGATCCTCAGCCCCGGGGCCCCCGCGATCCTCAGCCCCGGGAGCGCAGCCCCCGCGATCCTCAGCCCCGGGGCCCCCGCGATCCTCAGCCCCAGGAGCGCAGCCCCCGCGATCCTCAGCTCCGGGGCACCCGCGATCCTCAGCCCCGGGAGCGCAGCCCCGCAGGACGCCGCCCTTACACCACACGCAGCCGCGTCTGCGCCCGGGCGGCGGCACGGTAAGCGCTCGCGGCCGGGGGCGCGGCGGGGGAGTGACGATCGCGGCCGGGCAGCCGGCTGGACCCGGGGAGACGCGAGAGGAGCGAGCCGGCCTGGCGAAGGCCAGCGAGCGTCTCCATTCATTCATTGATCCGGCCCGGGGGGGAGGAGGAGCAGCTGCTCGGGAGACCGGGCGGGCGGGAGCGCGGCCGCTGCAGCCGCCAGCCGCGGACACAAAGGACACAAAAGGCTGCATTTGCATTTGAAAGGCGCTGCCGGCCGGGGAGAGCTCCGCGGAAAAGGCAGGCTTGGCCGAAAGGAAAAAGAAAAGCCCCGCACAATAGCGGCCTGGCCCGCAGCCCGAACGCGGCGGCGCGTGCGCGGTGCGGGCATGGAGGAAGAACAGTAAGTCCTCACACACGCTGAAAGAGACAAAGGCGGGCTCCCGTTTTTTATGAATGAAAGCAACCGGAAGTCGCCGGCCAACGCCCGGTTGATTGACAGATGACGCAAACCGTCAAATACCCGGCGCGCCGCCGACTCCGCAAATGAAAAGCTCCGCAGCGGCTCGGCGGCCACCCGCGCGGGCGGGGGCTTGGCGGAAACCCTGCCGAGCCGCCTGACAGCTGCTGACGAGCTCCGGCTGCCGCCGCCGCCGCCGCCGCCGCCGCCGCGGCCTCCGCCGCCGCCACCGCCGCCGCCGCCGCCGCCACCGCCGCCACCGCCGCCGCCGCTACTGCTGCAGCCTCGGCAGCCGCAGCCGCAGCCCCCGCAGCCGCAGCCGACCGCTCGCCATTTTGAAAAACCAATCGACCAGCCGGCGGGTGGTGTCGCGACCGGAAGCGCCCCCCTCGCCCCTGCGGCGCGGAACCCATGTTCTCAGGGGTCAGGGAGCAAGGGGAAAAGGTCAGAAGGGCACGTTTCCGCTTGGAAAATGAGTTAGTTCCCTTGGAACCTCGAGCTTCGAGCTTCGAGCTGAAAAGTCATTAAAACGTTCTAGAGAGGTTCTGGAGCCCGTCTGGGGGCCCAGGGATCTCCCATGGAAGATGCTGCAGCTCCCTCTAGCGGCCACGAGGCCCCAGGGGCCCAGGCACGTGCCGGGGCGGCCCGGGAGGGCGTGTCCCATCCGGGCCTTCCGGTGCCGGAACCCCCCGGGGCGTCTTCGAGGGGCGTCAGCGGGTCCCCGCGTGAGGCTTCGGGCCCGGCCTCCTTCCCGGTGGCCCCCGGGCCGGCCCACCTCCGCACGGCAGGCTGGAGGCAACCCGAGCCCGCCGAGGGAGGGCACCGACCCAGCTCGGAGCGGAAGAGGAGCCGCGACAGCTGGACCAAGCAGATCGTCTGCAGGTATTACCTCCATGGGCAGTGCAAGGAGGGGGACGGCTGTCACTACTCGCACGACCTCTCTAGGAGGCAGAAGGCCCGGGGGGGACGAGGTGCACCAGCTCAGGCCTCTGCCCGCAGAGGCCCCAGCACGGCTGCGCAGCGCGAGCCCCTGGCTCGGGAGACGGTGGCGGAACCCCCACCTGCTACCGCATCCTCAAGCTCCCTGTCTTTGATTGGCTCGGCTGCCGCTCGGGGCTGCCCTGAAGCCAAGGGAGACCGCGCAGGTCTGCAAGCTGCGGGAGGAGTGGCTGCCGGAGGCAGAGATGCAGGAGCTGCCCGCACCGAGCCCCCAGGTGCAGAAGGTGCCCGTGCGCAAGGCTGGGTGGGTGCAGCGGAGTTTGTTCCTGGACAGCCCTACCGAGGTCGCTTGGACCGTCCACGGGGTCCCATGGTCCGTCCACGCGCTCCCATGTTCCTCCCACGTCCTCCCATGGTGTTCCCCTACGGCCCCATGGTTTTCCCACTGGCTCCCATGGTCTTTCCTCATGGTCCCTTCGTCTTTCCACCTGCTCCCCTGGTCTTTCCTCCTGGCCCTCAGCTTCCTCTACCGAGGCCGGCGCCTGTGAGAGCGCAGAGGGCCGTGGATGCAGGGATGCCGCTTTGCCGCTACGCTGTCAGGGCCCATTGCTTTCGCGGGGATACCTGCCCCTACCTGCACGGAGATGCATGCGACATGTGTGGGCTACACACCTTGCACCCTGCGAATGCTGCTCAGCGGGACGAGCATTTCAGGGAGTGCATCGAAGCACACGAAAGAGATATGGAGCTCTCTTTCGCTGTGCAGCGCAGCATGGACAAGGTGTGTGGCATCTGCATGGAGGTTGTCTATGAGAAATCCGACCCCAAGGACCGCCGCTTTGGCATCCTTTCCAGCTGCAGCCACACCTACTGCCTCAGTTGTATCCGCAGGTGGAGAAGTGCCACACAGTTTGAGAACAGGATCAGTAAGTCGTGCCCACAGTGCAGGGTGCCATCCAGCTTTGTTATCCCCAGTAACCTCTGGATTGAGGAGGAGGAGGAGAAGGAGAAGCTTATCCAGCAGTATAAGGAAGGAATGCGCAATAAGCACTGCCGGTATTTTGCTCAAGGCAGGGGTCACTGCCCTTTTGGCGTGTTCTGTTTTTACAAGCATGAATACCCCGAAGGCTGGGGAGATTTCTATCAGAGGCCAGATGAAGGCGATGATGGTGGTGGTGGTGATGGTGGTGGCGGTGATGGAGGAGGAGGAGGAGGCGGCGGAGGTGGATCGGCCATCACTTACTGGCATCAAGTTTTGGAGCCTGTGCGGGTGCGAGAGGTCTACATGCCCCTTAAATGCCGCAAAAAGGAGCATGTCTTGTTCCGTCTGGCCAGTCAGTTGTTGAAGAAGTTTCTTTCACTGAGAGCTGATGTTTCCTTCTCTCATGATGAGCTGCTCCTGCTTCATTATCAGCTGGAAGAATATTTCTATTTCTACCTGTAAACCTCTCGCTGTCACCTGTGGTCTGGTCTCTGGAGGCTCTGTCTTCTGCTGTCACCTGCTTTTTCCCTCTATTGACTGAAACCTGTTGCTGTTAGAGTCTGTTGAGGAAACTTGACGCAGTGTTATTTCCTCTCTTGTTTTCTTGTGTATTACCTCTCCCCCATCTCTTCCCTACTACAGTTATGATGTGCCACTGTGTTAAGAAGTAACGAAAAAAAAGTCCTTCGAGTATTAGTTGGTGTGATTAATATTTCTGTTAGTTGATAGTTTGTCTGTTTCTAGCTGTATTTGCTCAGTTGTAGTGTTGTGTTTACAGAATCTTCTCACTGTGGATTCCTCAAAAGTAAATGTGACATAGTGAAAGACGTATGAATTATGGCCTTCTGCTACAGTAGAGCCTTAAGTCATGGCCCCTGGCAGGGCCCCGCAGCTGCTGTCTGCTGGTTTACACTGGTTTACACTGGTTTACACTTTTTCCCCTCCTCCAAGTGCACTTGTGTAACTTGTGGTTTACTTTGTGATTTGTGTCTTACTTGACCAAAATGAGGTGAATCTGTTTACATGTTTCTATCCTGTTCCGCTTGATGTGAAACTATTTATACTTGGAAATACATATTTAAGATGACACACATCTATGTATGAAGCTGTGTACTTGGAAACCATACAAACAGATATATGCTGTTTTATGTATGTGTTTGTGGAATAAATAAATAGATGAGAGCTGAAGGACAAAGGCTGGTAATATGGGTTACTGTGTTGATTCTGTGGATAATTTATTTGTCCCTGCACAGGGGTCTATTATTCACAGCTAGTGGAAAGAACTGTCTCCAATCTATTTCAGTGGAGACCCTGAAAGGCTTGAAAACCTGTCATTAGCAATTCTCCTGGTTGCATTAATAGATTGCCTATTATCACCAGTGAAGCAATGTATATTGTTGTGCATCTTACTATGCTTAGTAACAGCAAATCCTGCATTCAGATACTTAGTTATTTTCACTCAATGTTTATTTATTTATTTATTCATTCATTTATTCATTTGTGGGCCATGGGGCTTGAACTCAGCCTGGGCACTGTCCCTGAGCTCTTCAGCTCAAGGGTAGAGTTCTACCACACTTCCAGTTTTCTGGTAGTTAATTGGAGATGAGTCTCATGATGTTCCTACCCAGTATGGCTTTGAACTACCATCCTCAGCTCTCAGCCTCCTGAGTAGCTAGGATTAGTCATGAGCCACCAGCACCTGGGTTTCAGTATTAATTTATATCTAAATATCTCTAGGCTCTGCAGGCAAAGGGCTGTTGACAGAAGTTTTCAACATAATAATAACAATACTAAAAAAGGGAGATCAGTACAGTTAATAGAAGAATCAAAAATAAAAGAATGAACTATAGAAATTTCCCAAAGTGAAATACAATAGTAATGGAAAGCATATAATACAAATATGCCTGCATTAGATTATAAGTTTAAAAATAGAACTTAAAGGCTATCAGACTTGCTTCAAATAGTATGTGAATGCAGGGGAGGGTGGTTTAGTGGTAGAGTGCTTGCCTAGCATGCATGAAGACCTGGGTTCAAGTCCTCAGTACCACATAAACAGAAAAGACCAGATGTGGCACTGTGGCTCAAGTGGTATAATGCTAGCCTTGAGCAAAAGAAGCTCAGGGACAGTGCCCAGGCCCCGAGTTCAAGCCCCAGAACTGGCCAAAAAAAAATAGTATGTGAAATGCACACCTACAGAATACAATATAAAGCAGTGAAGGAAACAGGGTTATAAGCATAGTTTATATTAAGGTTGAACATTGCTGGAGATAAACAAAGAATGACATGTAAAGCATAATTCAGCAGGAATCTGTAACTGTTCACATTTCATACTCATAATAAAATTGTACTAGATGCACAAATAATTAACAAATACAGAATATGCAAAGTTTATATGCTTAATGTAGAATTTTAATACATGTTTTAGGAGAGGAAGGAAGGGAGGGAGGAAGGAATACAACTCACTGATTTCCTCACCTTGTAGAATGCTGTTTGCATCAGCTGCAGAAACCCATTCCCCCCCCTCCCCCCGCCCCGCCCCCTGTGGAGGAGACAGCTGGCAATCCAGCTGCAGAATTCCCCTCCTGGCATTCATGCTCTGGGCCTGCTTCCCAGGACATTCAGACTGCTCAGGCTATTCAGTAAGGCCCGCATGTTTACAGAATGAATGCCACATCCTTGAAAGTGATGAAGGAAATGTTAGCCTTGTGTGGTACCTGCTGTCCTTTTTCTCCTCCTGATGAGACAGTGGAGGAAGTTGAAACTGCTTGCCATTATGTGACCCATAGGTATGAGTTTGAGAACAAGGAAGGAAGCTCAGACAGTGCTTTTACAGAGAACAGGCAACTTGCCCTGCTGCTGCCTCTTCCTCCTCTCTCACAGAGAGCCGGTGTCAGATGGGCTAACTGAAATAATAGAGCCCCTGGAGATGTATGGGTTGGGCTGGGGGAGCAGAGCAGGAGCCAAGTTCTCACAGGATGCAGAGAGCCTGGGTAGTTTTGTCTATATGATATTTGTGTGGAAAAAATTCTTCATGATCTTTTGGAAATTGTGAATGTGAGGTACTAGGTACTAGGTACTGTGCTATAATGGGTACTAGGTACCATATCTTTTCTCTACAGGCTTCCACATTCTGACAGACATACACTGTCTATCATGTGTGGCTCCTGGTTCTCGGTGTAAGCACCTCAGAACTTTTCACTCCTTTTTTTTTTTTGGCTGTTCCTGGGTCTGGGCATTGTCCCAGAGCTCTGGCTCAAAGCCAGCACTCTACCACTTGAACCACAGCACCATTACCAGTGTTTTCTGTGATTAATTGGATAAAAGAGTCTCATAGACTTTCCTGCCTGGGCTGCCTTTGAACCAAGATCCTCAGATCTCAGCATCTTGAGTAGCTAAGATTACAGGCATGAGCCACTGGTCCCTGGCATGTGTGGTTTTTATTGTTTTGTTTTTTGTTTAGTTGGTTGGTTTTTTGGCCTTAGTGGGATTTGAACTCAAGACTTCACGCTTACTAAGCTGGCACGTGACCACTTGAGGCATGCTGCCAGCCCTTTTGCCATGTTTATTTTGGAGATAGGTTTGCACTTGGCCCCAGACCAGCTCCGACCGTAATCCTCTTTGTTGTGCTTCTGACTGTACATTGGATGACAGACCACCAAGCTCCACTTGTTATATTGACCATGGGGTCTCCTTCTTGATTCCAAATAATTCACCAGTAGAAAGACCTGGACACCTGCCTGTTTCCCTATCCATGAACAGGAAAGCTATTCCAAAAAAAAAGTGAAAAACTTCAGAGTAGGACATGATAGATCACTTTCAAAGACTACTGAGAGTTTCCAGCTTACTGGAGCCACAGTAGTGGCTTAGCAGTCAGGGAGGAGGTTGTGCTGAACCACTGGAAAGTTTGTCCTGCTCAGCACTGCCCACCCACAAGAAAGGCAGAGTTTTTATGCAACTAACATCTCACACCAGGCAGTCATAATGGAATTCAGGTTTTATCCTGGCATAATGGCTAGTAGAGAAGCTGGCCTGTGAGATGCAGAAAGGGAATCAAATCCTAACCACTCAGCAGCCACGCAGTCTCAGCAGATTACTTAAATTCACAATACCTTAGTTTACCAATCTGAGCAATGGGTACACTGCTCTGTTTTGCAAGATGGTTATGAGAATCATGAAGCAAAAGCGTGAACTGCAGCTGCCATTTTTAAGATGGCATTGATAAAAGAGGAATCTATGCACATTTAGGAGCCCAAGAAGCAATTTTACAAGCATATAAGTACTCCAGCAGCACTTTTCTTTCTATGAATCTGTGAAACTTGTGTTAAGCTAGTATTATTTTTGTAAATGAGGTGTTAGAGTAACTAGTACCACACAGCTTCAAAAAAATGATTTTTTTCAGCAAAAAAAAATTATCTCATTTAAACTAAGTGTGCTGGCTCAATTACTTAAAATACAGCAAGCAGGAAAAGACAGACTGAGCATCTGCGGCAGATGCCTAGTAGGGAAATAACAAATAAGATGATTATTTGTGTGAAAACAGTACACATTATTCCATTTCCAGCCCGTTCTGCAAAGAGCAGACATGGAAAGCCGCAGGTCTGAGTGAAATGTCCCCAGCCGCTTGCCTTAGGAGGCAGCAGCCAGCCCCTCCCTCCTGTCCCCAGGCACAAAGGATCGCAGCCTGCACAAAGGAGCTGGGTCCACACAAAGGAGCTCTGGCTGCACAAAGGAGCTCTTGCCTTGTGAGTGACAGCGTGTGTCAGCCCCGCCCCCAAGGCACTGGAGCTCAGCCCTGGGTCCATTCAGAAAACACCTGCTGCAGCAACTGTGATTTGCCCAGCAATCATCCAACTGCATCAACCACGCGTTTATACAAAAAGCAAATATGCCTAGTAAATAATCACACCCTTTGGAGATACAGAAACCAGGTTTTTCCCAGCCACTAATTTTTTTTTTTTTACTAAATCCCACAGGGTTAAAGATAAACGTCTCCATTCCACATCCGAGGGCAAGTCCTGTTCTACTTGCACCTTTAAAAACAACGGAGGATGTGATTTCTGCTTCCACAGCATAGCGTAGCCGTCACTGCAAACGTGGGGGCACGGGCTTGGGTGGGCTGAGGAGACAGACGCTTGGGAAATAACCCAGCACTAGGGCTGCGAATTAAACTAATTCACATCAGGATTTTTACCATGAAAATAGGGTGTTATACATTCCAGAACTGATAGATCCCTAATTAAAAAAAAAAATCGGCTGATCGATCACAGTGAAGTTATCCATTAAACGAAGAAATTAGAAGCGGTCCGGGAGCTTTTGTGTGACATAATCGTTAGGAGCTCAGTTACCATTTTGTAAAGGGGAGAATTTGAATTCATTCATTGACTCCATGCAGGTGAGGGGCAGTGAGGTTTCCCTGTAAAAGCAGGGACTCTTCACTTGACGTCAATGCCAGAGAGAATTTC